GTGGGACTTCATCCTTCAGCTAACTAGCTGGATGTGTTCTCAGGACAGTGGTGGGGGTCCAAGAGAGTCACCAGGAGTGCATTAGGCCTCTTTTGTTGTGGTTGTTCAGTCACCTAGTTGTATCTGACTCTTTTCGACCCCATGGACTGCAAATGCCAGGCCTCCCTGTCCATCGCCAATAACTCGAGTTTACTCAAACTCAAGTCCATTGAGTCAGTGATGCCATCCAACCATCTTTGTCATCTCCTTCACCTCCTGCCTTCAATCTTGTCCAGTATCAGGGTCGTTTCCAATGAGTCAGCTCTTCACATCAGGTGGCCAAAGTATTGGAGCTTCAGCTTCAGCATCAGTCTTTCCAGACTCTCAAGAGTCTGCTCCAACGTCACAGTTCAAAGGCATCAATTCTTTAGCACTTGGCTTTTTTTGTGGTCCAACTCTCATCTCTGTACATGACTACTCTCTTTGCCATACAGCAGAAATAAACACAACACTGTAAATCAACTATACTGCAATAAAAATTAATTAAAAAAAAAGAAGTCATGGGGTGGTCAGTGTATATATGATATTAATGAAGGAGTACATGCAATCAAGCACACATCTGGGTAGAAGGTTGCTGCTAGCCATGAGAGTCAGATCTTATTAATTAATCATTTTAGTTCATTTCTAAGCATGGGAAGGTGAAAAATTTTGCATTCATAAATTTTTTCCTGATAATATCTAACTATCCAAAGTCTTGATTTGCCAGCTTTTCTAAGCACAGATTACCTCAATCCTGGTGTTTGTCCTGAAGTTTTTTCATGGTGTGTTAAACATCAGTAGCTGCAGTGGTTAATGGGTTAATGACCCAATCCTAGTAGAGCCAGTTAGTGAGCAACATGCTTTAGTTGGCAAGGTCTAGATTTGGAACTAGAGCTCCATAACTAATGAGGAGAATGGCACCTCTTGTTTGAGGGGCTGAAATTCACATCGCAAGGAGTGAGTTCCAGTTCTGAAAATATTACTGTGACCACACTTGGTCTCCTATCTCTCATTGATCGCAATTATAACTCCTGAATCTGAGGACTCTGTCAAATAAAGGGTAGCAAGCAGATAGGAAAAGGAAATCATAAAGTGAGTGTCATTGAACAAATGGTGAGTGTCCCTTATTTTTTTTTAACTGCAGGTCTTCCTTGGTCTGGACTCAAAAAGAGCCTGAAGCCTGTATGTGCATCAGGTGCAGACAGAAGGAAGCGGGCACTCAATGGGCCAGGAGCCCTGCTTTTCTGTTTTTGCTCGTGTTTCTTTCGCCCTTTCTCATTCTTTCCCACCCCTCACCCCCAACACTCACACCCCCACCCCACACCCACACCCCAGTGCCTGTGACAGCAGTAGCGACGGCATGGAGGCTGAACCCTGAGGAAAGGGACCTTCTCTCTCACACAAGATCCTGTGGTCCCCAGAGCACATGGAGAATCCCACTGGCTTTTGTTTTCTCTCTGTCATCTCCATTCTTGGTGCAGAAGGCAGACACAGTTGCAGAAATGCACAGCAGAGCAAATATACTAAAGTCCACTTATCTGGTCCAAGAACCAGAGGGACGATTCCTGTGAGTTGGAAAATGGTATAGAAATTGCAGACAGGAGATTAAGAAAAAAAAATCTTGTATAATTGTTTGTGTTTGTTGTGTTTGACAACTAGGATCACCCCTCCTCACGCCGCCGCCCATATGCACAGGCATAAATGTGAGGAAAAACAGACTTCGCAAATTGATATTAAGGGTAAACAATCACCTAGGGCCTATACTCAGCTTCCCTGGGGGCTCAGATGGTAAGAATCTGCCTGCAATGCAGGAGATCTGGGTTCGAGCCCTGGATCATGAAGATTCCCTTGGAGAAGAGAACAGCAATCCACTCCAGTATTCTTGCCTGGAGAATCCCATAGAGAGAGGAGCCTGGCAGGCTACAGTCCTTGGGGTCGCAAAGAGTCGGACCCGCCTGAGTGACCAACACTTCCTTTTCAGGGCCTAGACTGGTCCTTGGGTGACACCCACAGTACAGTGTGAGCAGTCCTGTACTGAATCAGACTGCCCATCAAAGGCAGGTAGGAATTTACTGTCCCTTAGTGGGTCAACTAATTCTCGCTAACAACAGCATAAAAACCACAGCAAAAAAAAAAAAAAAAAAAATCAACATTTTCCATAGTATTTAAGCCCTATCTAGAGCCCATAGCATTGTACTGAAAATGTGCAGAATACAACAGACAATTCCCCAACAGGTGAAGAACCAGGAAGATCTCTGTCACACTGTGGGAAAGCTAGTAAATAGAGGCCAATCCTGATGTATCACAGGACTTTTTATGCCTGTGGAAGAAAATGGAGAGACAGACATAGAGATAGAAAGTCACACAGATGAGAGAGAGATAAATGGAGAATTAGAAAGGGAAAGACAGGTGGTAGAGTAGGCAGGCAGAGAGACATAAAGAGAGAAATAGAGATAAGGAGAGAGAGAGTAAGACAGAACAGAGACGAAGAGAAACAGAGAAGGGGAGGGAGAACAGAGTGGGAGAGAAAGGCAGAGAAAGACTTAGAGGGTGAGCAGTGACAGTAAATACAGGAGATCTGTGGACATAGAGATGGAGAGACAGACCAGTCCACACAAGTGGCGGAAAAAGCCGTGGAGAGATAGGGAAACAGAACAGTAGAGAAAGAGAGAGAGAGAGCCGGTGCAAGAGACAGACCTGGGAAATGCTTAAGAGAATTGTGTTTTCTTATTTCTGTTTTCCTTTCTTTCTTTTCTTCTTCCAATTTCTCACCCTGCACCCCCCTCTCTCTCTTTCTTTGGGTACATTGTGTTTAATAAATATATTCTAGTGCCAATATTGTAATTTTTTCAACATCATAGTTGATAGTTCTTTCACATTCTGGTTTTTCTCTTACTATTTTTTTTGTGTGTTTGAAGAACCTTCTTTCTACTCTAGACTAATGGAAATTTTCTCCTTTCTTATTTTTTTTTTTGAATTTATTTACTTATTTTTGGCCATGTAGCTTGTCATGTAGGATATTACATGACAAGACCAGACCAGGCATCTGACTTGGTGCCCTGCAGTGGAAGCATGGAGTCTCAACCACTGGACCGCCAGCGAAGTTCCTCTCCTTTTTTATTTTTAAACCATGAAGCTTCTGCTCCTGAAAGGACTTTGCAGGACTCCAGGGCACCCGCACTTGCTTCATGTACAACAGCCTGGAACACTCTGCTCTCAGACTGCTTCCTGTCCCCTGCACCGTTGGCCCCAGCGTCACAGGGGAGACCAGCTATAGTCCTGGCCCTTCCTCACTCCCCAGCTGTCTGTCATGAGCCTAGAAAATGAGTTATCCGAGAGAGTGTAGCCAAAACGATGACCCTGGGGGACTTCTTCTTCCATTTTATTGAACATATTTTAAACATATACCCCAGCATTTTTACAAAAGTAGTGGGTGAAAATCTGTATGCACATCATTTCAGTTCCACTACGGTTTCACTGTCCTTGTCTGATCTCCTACTTATCCATCTATGAGTCCAAGTAAACCAAAGGGGAAAATTTTAATAATGTCACCACAAACACATTGTCCTTGAGTCCTGGTGACATGAACAAACATTTCTGTTGGATTTATGCCTCATAGTGGAAATATAGTGTGTCTGAACACCTTTCAATAGGTTTATTGTTCCTTGTATATGCAGGAACTATTGGTGTTCTTTACTCTTTATTTTTTTTTCATTTTGTCTATTTTTAATGATTTCTTTCTTTTAAAACTCAATTTATTTAAACAAACAAACCATTCGAGTATTTCTCCCATCTCCTGTCACTTGCTTCTTGTAACCACTGATCTGTTCTCTGTTTTTCCATATGTAAGAGAGATTTATGATATTTGTCTTTCTCTGTCTTACTTTTTCGTTTAGCATAATACTCGTAAGTTCCACCCACATTGTTGCAAATATCTGAGGAGTATTCTATGGCATACTTATACTACAGCTACTTTACTCATTCATCTGTTTGCTGATGGACACTTAGGTTGTTTAAAAGTTTTGACTGTTGTAAATAAAGCAGCAATGAACATGGGAGTACAGATACCTTTTCAATTCAGTGTTTTGTTTTGTTTTTTTTTCTCTTTCAGATCAATACCCACAAGTAAAATTGCTGGATCACATGGTAGTTGCATTTTTAATTTTTCAACGACCCTTCATACTGTTTTGATAGTGACTGTGCCCATATACATTTCCACCAAGAGTGCACGATTCTGTTTTCTCCTTATTCTCCCCCACATCTGTTAGTTCAAGTCTTGTTGATAACAGCCATTCTGACAGCGGGGAGATGACATCTCATTGCTGTTTTGATATCCATTTTCCTGAATTTCAGACAAACATCATATTTTTTTAGTGTAAGTATATCTGAATGTTGCATAGCACTATGTAGGATGTTTTTCCCCACTAAATCTAGCAACCTTAGGTGAAGGCCTTTTACTTGATGATGCAAAAATTTCTCTTATTTAATTGATTTGTAAGCACACACACATTTAACTTTGAGGAGAGTTAAGTGTAGATCAACCTACTCGGTATCAATTTCTTACAATAAAAGAGGGGTGAATGCTTATTTGATTTGTGGGTGGTTGCCTCAAAGCTTACCTACAGAGGTAAAAAGGAAGGTAGTGCAGGGAAATGATAGAAAGGTGGTTCCTTGAGAAAAAGACTATGGCAGCATCATTAACACTGAAATACTGAGCTACAGGGAACTTAGCCTGATTCAGGTCTGCTCACTCCACCAGGCAACAGGCAAGCTTTGTCCATGTTTCCCTGTGCACCCCGTATCTGATTCCTCTGCTTGCAGTTCTGAGCTTTCAGAGCTCAGGCTTCTCTTCTCCTGTGGGGGAGGCGGCTGCTCCCAGCCTGCCCTCCAGAAAGGGGTTGGTGCAAAGAGGCAGGGCTCCTCCCCAGGCCTCCCCCAGCACCCACCCCTTCTGGGCTCAGCCTGGTGGTCTTTAAGAGAGATCCTCGCTGACTCCCTCGCCTGTCACATCTGCTGGGAAGCTCGGTCTAGCTCACTGTTTCAGCCATGCTGCCGGTCCCAGCACTGCTTCTGGTTTTCCTGGCTCCTGGTAAGTGTGTTGCCTGGATGCTCTGGGGACTTTTCTGTACTTTTTGGCAATGGTGAGGGGGAGGGTCATACTAAGAAATGGTGTTTCCTCTTACTCATGATTTTTTGTTGCTTTCCTCATTGCAGTCACACAGGTATCTTCCAACATGGAAGAGGACAAGTTGTCAGTCATGAGGGCTACTGGGTCATCTGTTGTAATCGATTGTGATCTTACGCACAACTATATCCACTGGTACAAATTCCAGGAGGGAGCTGTACCCCGACGCCTTCTCTACTACGATGTCTACAACTCAAAGGTTGTGTTGGAACCAGGAACCAGCCAAGGGAAATACCACGTTTACAAAGGCACAGGGAAGGGCTACACAATTGTAATCTCAAACTTGCAAGAAAGTGATTCTGGCACGTACTACTGTGCCTTCTGGGAGAAGCACATTGGTTTAGACTTCCTTTACTCTGCACTGGAAATTTTGCTTGTGGCTGCCAGAACAGCCGTGATACACAGGCGACACCAACGCCTGTCTCACTTCCTGACCCCAGTTCTTTTTACTCTGAATGAAGAGAAATCCTGAGCTCAACGCCCAGCCCCAGTCACTGCCACCTCAACAGCCTCCTCTCAATAGCCATTGTTTGTTATGGTCAAAGATTTTTCCTAAAAGCGGGTCTCCATCTTAAGGCCCTAGGCAAGCAGCTGGTAGGCAGCACATTCTTTTAACTTCCCTAGGAGCTGGTGGAGTCTATTCAACCTTCTCTTGAGAACAGACAGGGCATCTTGGATTGATCTATTAAGGGGAATATTTAGGAGAACAAAATGAAAGGTTATTTTTATTGAATCATTTATCTGATCATTTTCCAGAGAAGGTAGCTAGGAATGAAGCATCTTTATTATTCAGGATTATGAAATATGAGCAAAGATGGAGTGAAAACTTGGATTCCTGAAGCCCAAGTTGGTATCTGACCTATCTTTTAGACAAATTGATATTTTTCTCATATAACCAACCAGGGCATGGAATGTAGGAAAAGGGGGATTGGTATAGTTATGCCAATCATAGTATTCTACTTACACCTTCTGTTGAAGTTCAGTCCACAGCCAGAACTATTCTGTGTTAAACAAGTAAAGCCAGAAGTTCTTTTCACTCCCACCCCAAATATTGACATGACCAAGTTTCAAACTGGAATGAGACTTAGACATTTTTTTTCAATAATTCAAGTGTAAAGAACACTTCGGGTGAACAATTAGACAATGAGTGGTATCTACATCAACAGAAAAGTCTTGTAAGAAAGGGTGTGACTTTCTCATTGGGCTAGGTTTAATGACATAAAATTAATACTGAAGTACAGAAATGCCATATTCATATGTATGTGGTCTCTTGTGTATGCGTGTGGGCTAAGTTGCTTCAGTTGTGTCTGATTCTGTGAGATCCTATGGACTGTAGCCTGCCAGGGGTAGTCTGTACTGTCCATTGGGTTTTCCAGGCAAGAATACTGGACTGGGTTGCATGCCCTCCTCTATGGGATCTTTCCAACCCACGGATTGAACCCGGGTTTCCTGCATCTTCTGCATTACAGGCAGATTCTTCACCACTGAGTCACCAGGGGAGCCCCTCTTGTATATCGTATCCTCCAAATTTCTATCTGAGCAGTGTTTCTTAAACTGTGGTCCACGGACCACCTGAGTCAGAAGCATTGGGTTGGAATAAAAGTCCCCATTCTGGATGGCACCTAATATCGTGAACACATATCTTGGAATGAAGACTGAAAATGTGTGTTTTTCAATAAGTTCCATAGCTGATTCTTACTCAGATTGATTTATATCAATTTATATCAACTGCTGTGCTAGCAGTAACAGATAAAGTGACATGCCTCCCTCTGAAATGGGCCAGTTCCTGGCCTCAAACAGGAGTGAACACAGTTTTCATGGGCTTATCCCCAGCCTAGACGTCCTTCCTTTCTTGTTGCATCCTGGATGCTGCTGCTCTCCCAGGTCATCACATTTCTCCATGAGAATCCCACAACCACAGGTCAAAGTTTCTGGTCCTTCTCATTCCTGTGATTGCACGCAAGAAGGAATTGGATAGTAAATGTACTGACTTTAACTTGGGCCTCAGTACAAGGGACCATGCACTATTTTGGAGCTTTAAAAAAGATTGAAACAAAAACTTCTTGTCATTTATATTTTTCCAATGTTGTTTAGGCTTTGTTCTGCACATTTATTTCTTTGATCCACTTTGAATTTAAATTTTGCATAATATTGGACCTGCACAAATGGAGAGACATGACATATTCATGAAGGAAAAGATCAATATCATAAAGATGCTGATCTTTCCTAAATTCATGTATGTAAACTGACTATAATTCCTATTAGAATTAAGAAAATATTTTATTTTTGTTCTATGATGTAGAACAAAATGTTTGAAACATAGAGAATTTCTATTTATTGGATAAAGCATGATTAAGTAATGAAACAACCCAAGTATTTATAATGACAGGAATAGAACTATGCTGTTCATCATGTGGGGCTTCCCTGGTGACTCAGATGATAAAGAAACCACCTACCAATGCAGGAGATGTGGGTTTGATCCTTGGGTGAGGAAGATCCCCTGGAGAAGGAAATGGTGACCCACTCCAGTATTCTTGCCTGGAGAATTCCATGGATGGAGGAGCCTGGTAGGCTACAGTCCATGGGATCTGAAAGAGTTGGACATGACTTAATGACTAAACAACAACAACATTATCATTTCCTGGGAGTCATCTTGACACAATAAATGCTGGTTTTGGTGTGAGATGACTCTAAATTACAAAGTGTAGTTATAGGTTCTGAATTTAAACAGTGGACTTCATAAGTTAGTGTGGCTTTTGTTTCTAATAACCAGGGAAGCATGATATCTCTTTGCTTCTAGAATTTAGGTTGTGCTAGTAGCTAATACATGAACTGACCCTTACCGAAAATTTCTTATGTGGAAGATATTGTGCTGTATCTTGCATGCATTTTCTGTTTAATCCTCATTACTCACCTTACGGTGTTACAATATTTCTCCCTGCCCCTACTTTATAGATGTGTTTTTGTAAGATGTTAAAATTAAGTTCCTTCAAATGAAGTCATACAGCTCTACTCTGGGGATTCAACCCAGACTACCCGAATCAATGGTTCACATAATTAATTCTCTATCTCTCCCCTAGGATACAGACATAGAGCAAGAATACCAAGGCCAAGGCATGACAGTCTAATGGTCAGGAGTATAAGTGCATGGACTTCTGAGTATCACAGATTAAACGTTAAACCCCAGTTCTTTATTTATTAGCTATATGAAAATGCGAAAATTCATTATGTTGTCCTCATTGACCAATTTGGAGTAATTACACCCAACTCAGTTATTAGAGAGAAAAGAACACACATATGGAATGTCTCCCACCAGATATCCATTTAACCAGCACAGAATCAGTACAAGTCAGTGGCCCCTTCTCCTACATGAAGGTTCTAAGTGAAATAGAAGCTCTGGATCTGGCCCTGCTGATCCCTCCTTCATTCCCTATATCAGAGGGTCCGGAATTCAGCTAACACCTGAGCTGATCAAGGGGAGTAAGTTATGAGCAGGTCAACCCCTGATAGCCTTTCCACACCAAATGTTAGTGATTCTGGAGCTCTGACTCTGTGAAGATGAAGTATGAAGAAGGGAAATTTCCTTAGGAACACACTCAGCCTTGTGGTTCATTCAGTAACCAAGGCAGACCCATCATAATTAATTATTTTTTGACATCATGTATTTTCTGCAAAATTTCAAAGACGAGTAAGTGCCACTGTTCTATCACATCACAGCCACGATGAGAGATGTCCAAGACAGAGAGGTGAACGAGGCATGAGCTCCTAAAGAGTCTGAGAGTTTGGGTTAACCACTTTCTTCCATTTTATACAAAGTTCTCTTTAATAGACTCAACCCCACTCCACTGTGAACACCAGCAGATTTCATGGGATTTACCCTTCGCAGGAATCTCATTGATGCATAATATGTAACGGCTCAGATGCTTCTAAACCAGCGATTCAACCTGATATTCATGCTAAACCTTTTCATGTCTGAGGTATTTGTTGCACATGGAGATGCAGGCTTACAGAGCAGTTAAGACCGTGCTCTTTACAGTCAGGTTGCTGGGAATAAAATATGATTTCTGGTATTTTCTAAATGTGTGACATCAGAAAAATTAGTTCTTTCTACCCTCAGTTGATTTTTAAAATGGAAATGAAAACAACAATCTCATAGATTATTGTAAAATGAAGTAAGTTTATAGCTTTGCTTGCAAAGTTCTCAGAATAAGTGCCTGGTGTTGGATCATGGTTAATAAAGATTAGCTGTTATTATTATTAGGAGACATGATGAGGGCAAAGAAGATGCTAAAATCTCTCAGAAAATTTTTTCCCCCTCTGGACTCATTCATTAAAAACACAGATTATTTGCTAATATTTGAGAAGGTTCTAAGTGAATTTGGCAGAAGTTGTTGATTCACTTGAACTTTGAGTTGGATTCTGGGTCGTTCTGGTGGTGGTGGTGGTCCTTGTTTACCTTGGGGATTGGTGGTGCTAGGGTGTCACTTGATAGTAGGTCATCAGAAATAACTAATTGTGACCTTCTCCCATCACTGTTCCCTGAACTTTCAAAGGAGCAGGTAACCAACCAAAGGACTTCTTCTAGATACCCCGCAGCTTCAGCTCGTGAACACCTCTGCCTTGCACTTACCTCCTCCCCCTCCTCCTCGTCAAGAGTGCAGCCTACTTTGTCATCATTGCCTTCTGCATGTGCAAGAGAACAGGTGTCAGCAACAGCGCGAAGAGCTAGTGACAGAGGGGCCACAGAGGGGTCAATGTTCCTTCATCATCTATTTCTCAAAAAGTGTCTACTGAGGATCTAGCCTGGCTTCCTTTCTGCATTTGGGTTATTTCTATTCACATGGTATTTTTCTATTATATCTTTACTTTGTAAGAGTTTTTCAAATCTTTGGGCAGGCAGTTTGACTCTGTACCAAGGAATTCTGCCATTACTCAGGGGCAGGGTCCCGGGCTGGCCTAGGGGAGCCTCTCCCACCACTATCCCCACAACCTCATCAGCTCCTGCAGCCCTTGGATCCTTGCACCTCCTGAGCACACACAGTGGGCAGCTCCCTCTCTTCTTCTCCTTTAGCTCCTCCACACAGACCACGGCTGGGACCTTCACTGCCATACACCCTGGGGCTGCTAGCTTTGGTACTTAAATTCTGCACTTTGATTTTCATAATAGGCACAAAAAATAATTAAGCATATCAAAAGCTCACATTTGTCTTTGAGTACTTTAATTTCATGAAATACAATGAAGGTTAGAAACAGCATGACAACTGAGCTATCAAATTCAACACTGGTTGTAATAATGATCATTAACACATTCCTATGTCTAACGTGATTATGGTGCTTTCTTTGGGGCCACTGGCTCCAATGGACATGTGTGTGTGTGTGTGTGTGTGTGTGTGTGTGTGTGTGACTCAGTTGTGTCTGACTCTTTGTGACCCCATGGACTGTAGCCCCCCAGGCTCCTCTGTCCNCTGACTCTTTGTGACCCCACGGACTGTAGCCCCCCAGGCTCCTCTGTCCACGGAATTTTCCAGGCAAGAATACTGGAGCGTGTTGCCACAGCCAAACTAAGGTGACAGGGTTCTTCTCTTTTAAAGTTGTTAGATTCGGAGTCGTTGGCTTGAAATGTTCCTATGGTGACAGTGTGACACCCAGCATGACTTGCACTGCGTGTGCTCAGATTGTACTAGTGTCTCCCAAAGCATCGACTGCTGATTCTCACATTAACCCCATGAAAACTGCACCAACACCAGAAGGGTGTCAGGTGGAGGGTTAAGCACGTAGATTTTGACCCCTGAGGACCTGGATTTGAACCCTGAGTCTGTATTACCGTCTGTGTGACCTCAGGCAGTATTGGAAGGAAGGCTCTATGCCATTGAATCTTCAACTATGTAATGAAGTTACAGTGCCCTGTTTCCTGGAGCATGAGGAATAGATGAACTAATGATGCTTAATCCATGCAAATCCTGAACGACATTAGCTTCTAGTCTCATGGCTTTACTGTAAAATCAATAGATTCCATACATACACAAAGCCCTGAAAACCATCTCTAGCCTCGTTCCCCACAGACAGGTTAGAGGTGGATGGAACAGGGACTCAGTTTCTATCTTTCACCAGGGAATCTCATGATTCCTAGTGTGTCCAGTTCACTCACAATAAAACGAGGCCCCAGAGAGACTAAGAAATGTGCTCAAATTTAAACACAGAGCAGTACTGGGTTCCACATGGTCCAGGTTGGCCTGACTTAAAACATGCTGCATTTTTTTTCGATATATCAATGGCCCTCTTATTATAACTGTAATTAATTACTAGAGAAACAGATTGCTAAGTAAATAAATGCATAAGAAAGAAAAGTCACTGAGGTCCAGACTTCATCACAGGCTGGGCGTCAGACTTTAAAAACGCTCCTTCAGTAATTCTAATGTGCAGCCGGGTTGAGCTAGCAGGTAACAGTTCCAGTGCTGCCAGCTTGGATTTCAGGCATCAAGGAAGCATACAATCAGCTTCACTGTGAAATAAAT